CCCAAAAAGGAAATGGAAAGTCCAGAGTTCTGAACAGCACAGGATGAATCCAACACAGCAAACACGGTGCTTGTTGGGTGTCACCCTCGGTCCCACACTCCTTGCTGATCCAATCAGAGGAGCTGATACTGGAAATGGTATCTTTGCAAGAGGTGCAAAAGAAATGAAAGAGCAACCAGATTGTGAGATTAAGGGGACAATCTGATTTAGGAGTCAGCTCTGGCCAAGAAGGGATAAAGTTGCTCCCTCAACAAAGGAAGAGTCTTGATTTTTTACTGATTTATTGGGAGTGGCTAATCCAGTGACCTTCCCTTAGTCATGGCCACAGTTTCGAAAGACATCTTGTGTGCAAATATTGTGGCCTTATGCCTAGTGGGCTAATGGGCAGTCAGCTCTACTTAGGAACTGCTGAGTCGCTCTCATGGCTGGTGTCATTGTCTTGTGTAGATATCCTGGCCTGATGAAAGGGCTAAAAATTGAGTCTGAAAACTTAAAACAAAGTAAAACAACAACAAACAAGCCCCACAAAGGTGGAGTAAAATAAACGTATATGTTCAAACAGGCCAGAGGCCAAGTTCACCTTGTTCTGTGGTCTTGGATAAAATATTTCTTAAATAATCAACATGTCTACATCAGAGCTGAGTAGAGTCTCACTCAAAGGTTGAGGCAGCAAATGGAACAGATTTGATAGGAAGAAAGAAATTCCAGTCCTTTCATTCCATTTCAGTCACCTGTCCTTCAAGTTTCACAGTATCATAGCCAACAGACTGGGGCCAGGCACAGATCAGTTTATGCACCTCCTGGGCTAATAGTGAACACCTCAGAAGACCTATCTCTCTGACTTCCCTACCAGCAGCATCAGCACAGTCTCCCAAACCTGGACACCCACTGCAGGTTCAGCTGTGCTGCTGTTGAATGTTTTGCCCATATGACTTCAAGACATTTGGCTACACTGATTCTTCTGCCAGGAGCACCTGCACCTGCCACCTGGAAACATCAGCATTACTTCCTCTGAGAAGCCCTCCAGCACCTTCCCAGAAGAGTTGATCACATCTCTTTGCCTAATGTACTTTGTGAGGAGGGGACAAAGTCCACTGCTCTTCCTTGGGTCCAAGGCTAGTAAATCGCACAACTGACCCTTCCAATGGTGCCTGTTTCATCCTGGGCAAATGTTCACAGAGTTTGATGGTCACCTGCTATCAGGTTTGAGGGAGGGACAGTGGGTGACTACAAAGAGCCCACACAATATAGTGTTTCCCCTTATTTTTCAAATCAATATATAATATTGTACATACATGGGGGATGTGAGAGTTGATTTTTCAGATGAGGGAGGTGAGGTGAGGAAAAGGGCAGTAACTTTTATCAGTAACTAAGAGGAGAAACCAAGACTCAGCGTTTGACCTTATATTTGATACCTGAGACCACCCTTCTTGTTTGTTATGGTTTGGTCTTTATTTGTCTTAACATCCCTTGCTCCTAATTCTGTCCCCTTCTCCCAGCAAGAATTTAGATTTACAACCAGACAAAACCATAGAGAGGCAGAATCAGGTAAATAAATGTCCATATGAGTCGCATCTTTGCAAGGATACTATTGCTGTGCTCAGTGTGCGGAATCACTGGAATAGAATCACTGAACAACTCCATTACTTGGTGCCTGATACACAATGAACAATTGAAATCTATCAAAGAATGTGAATTATGCAAGAATTGATGAGAATTGACAAAGAAGTAAAGCACATTTTTCAAGTCATGAGGCTGAAGAGGAAGATAGCCTTCCTTCATGAGGGGGTGGGGGGGAGAGGGAGGGGGCGGGATGAGTAGTAAGGGAGGGGGTGGGGACGGCAGGGGAAGAAATGACCCAAGTATTGTGTGCCATATGAATAATAAAAAAATTAAAAAGTAAAATTTTAAAAAAAACAGCCAGTTCCTGAAAAAAAAAAAAAGGAAGATAGCCTTGAAACAGGGTCATAAAACGTGGTAATCTGTCAATTAAAAGCTGTAACCTCAGACAGAGTTGTAAAGCATGAGGAATTGCCCATTAGAGCCATGCAAAAGTTCAGGATCCAGGTGTAAGGCACCATGCAGGGATAAACACTCATTCCCGTATTCCTTTGTCTCCACTTGTAAATAAACTTTCCAAAGCAGGACTCCCCTGCTGTTCTTATCTAAACCTTAGGTCTCTAATCCACTACTAGCCCCTAATTTATGGGAGAGCACAATTCCTTGTAACCTGATGCCCTGCACTGCCTTTTAAATATCCTGTGAATCCTTTGTTCAGTGTTCAGACACAGGTACACGTCTGAGCCCGCTGGCATAAAAATAAAATCTGAGTTCTCCACTCCTCTGAGTGTCGCTTGGTTTCTTGTCTGACCATACTTCCACAACAAGGCAAGTAGATGGCCAAGACTCTGTTGACTCCTTGAGGAAGAATGGAAGAATCCATCGAAAGCCCCAGGAAAGCAATTGCCAAATGAGAGAAAGGGGAATGGTGAAAACCTTCCTGCATGATTGTGTACGCAAAGGATTCTCAAGGCACTGTGGGCATCTCAAGAATGACAGGAGATTTGGAGACAGGCTTGCACATCCTGGGCTCCAGTCATGGCACTCACTTGCCCCATGTGGAAACAGAGGATTAATGCCCCTGGGCAGGCCCATGCAAGACAGGAGCTCCCTCCTCGCTCCCTGGAGAGGAGGACTCTGAGGACGCTCCTTGAAGGCCTCTCACAGGGTCCTGTCAGGTTCAATCAGCCACCTGTGACCAAATGAAGACCATGTCACTGGTCCGTTTCCTGTCCTTCCACATATCACTCCTCCCAGTGCTCCAGTTCTGCTCCCAGAATCATTTCTGAAACAAGCCACCAAGCACAAACCTTGCCTCTGGTGCTACCAGTCATCTTGGGACCTCAGATTACAGCTGGCTCCTCCAGGCAGCACAAGTCAAGTGCTAAGCATAATTGGGTGTTAGACTGAAGAGAACCATGGAAGCATAGGTGGGACAGGGCTCAACACCAGCACAGGCTATAATTAGGAACGAGCATGCGAAGGGGATCTCCAGCAAGAGAGCCCAGAACCACATACAAGCTTGGGGCACATAAAGCAGGAGCTGGTAGAAAGGTACCAGGAAGGTCACTGGGTGGGAAAATTTTCTTGAGGGTCGCTAAGAATGCTTCCCTAAGCATTCACTTAGTTGCTGGGCAACTAAGGAAGATAAGCTGTGGTTAAGTCACTTGTCTGCTCAACTATCCTTGGTCCCACCTGGAGATAAAGGTTAACAACTGTCCCTATGTAAATCTTTGAGGTCGAGTAGGGAGTTTCCAGTAAGCTACTTGTGAACAGGGGGGGATCTGGTCCAAATATGGCTGGCCTTACTATTCACCCTAACAATGGGGAGCCATGAAACAGCTGATAGCAGGCACTTAACCAAATCTACATTCTGAAGGGTCAACGTGGCCCTATGTGGAGAATGGGCAGGGACTGGAGCAGAGCCACAAGGAAAAAACATTCTGGAAGCCCTTCCAGAAGTCTAGGAGAAACACGGGGCAGCTTGAATGTGGACATTTCTTGTATGGCTCTCTCTGTCCCTGAGCTACTGACCCTTGAGCACACCTCACACAGGCTCTTGTGACCCGGTTAATGCTGGACCCTGGCTGCTTGGTGAGTAAGGGACCGCTCAGCCTGAGCCACACACAAGGAGCTTCACCCAGTGTTCCAGTGGGGCCTGCAGGTGCTGGTGTCTGGGGCAATGGTGGCTGTAAGAGTGAGTGAGTGAGCAGGAAGGCAATGGACGACTTGCTCATGAGAAACGATCCACAAGAATTCCAAGTTGAGCATCTGGTGCACAGGTGAGCCAATCAGCCCACACAACAAGGGCTCAGTGTGTCAGGGTAGGGATCCAGCTTGACCTGACTGCAGCCATCTTGATCATAACCACCATGACTGTCCCTGAGGGACCCTGGCCTGTTTACCCTGCACGAATTCTCAGATCACCCTGTGTAAGCACAACCACTAGAGTGACATGTGGGCTTTACGACTGACCCTGGTGTACTCAGCATTAGGATGCTGACCCCTTTGATGTTATCTTGAGAAAAAGTTAAGTATGGTTTAGTTTGGATAGAAGAGACCTTGGCCTTGATCACTGTTTAAGCCCTCTCTCAAAGACCCAAGGTGGGGAGCTACTAGTCTTGCTGCTTCCACACATTTGTCTTCAGGTCCCCAAAAAGAAACACTCTGTAATTCTACATCTTTCTGGCCCTTCTCAAGTCACAGGCCATTTCTGCCTGTGGCAGAGGGTTCTTTTATAAGCCATTTACATTTCCCACAGAATCATCACTTAACATTTATTAAATCAAAGTATATAGAAGCAAGAAGGGAAGAGCCAGGTGGATATGTGATGTCCTCTTGTCCAGCTGATGAGGAAACCGAGGCTCAGACAGGCTGTATCTCTTGACCCAAAGCTAGTGACCTCTACACACCAACAACTTCCTGGCCTGTTTTTCAAATCTGATGCTGCCCTCACATATCAATGACTGTTCCAATACATCTGGAGTTTCATTGAGATTTCATTGGTCCCTCAGTACAACCAGGACACTTTCTAGTGTTCCACCCACTTGACTGTTACCACCACCCTCATCATCGTCTTCCTTCAATTACCATCATCACCATGGGAATAGTCAAAAAGTCACTGCTGACTAAGATGAGAGGAAGGTGATACTGCAGACACAGGGCTGGAGATCAGGGAAAGACTTTATTTGTGCTGGGACATCACCATGGGGGTGGGGGTCGATGGAGGAGCTGCTGTGTCTACTCCCAATCATCAACTGACTCAGGCTCTTTCCCCTTTCACCTCATTACTTTTTGGACCACATCATTGCTTGTTGCTGCAGACTCCTTTCTATCCATGCCCCTATGGCATTCTTTAGTCCAAAATAAACTGTTTCCTCTCATTCTCACGCTCTTTTGTCTCCTTGTGTTCCTTATTTCTCTTTGACCCAGTTGCTATCCGTTTTACCCCTGCTGAGCTCAGCCACAAAAATGTCAAACTCCTTCGCATTCAGTTTCATAGACTTGATTCACCCTCTGTCCCCTCAAATAAAATGCCTCCATGAGTGGACACCCTGGGCAGCACATCTCCTCTGAATTGCACACAGCTACAGAGAAGGAAGCTGTAACTGTGTAGGATCAGACTGCAAAGTGTCCTGGATCTGGACAAGCTCCTTCAACTTCTTCTCCAGTTCCTGAGCCACCTGCCGCAGCTCTTTAGCCAACTCTGCTTCTGCACCCTCAGACAAGTGCTTTGAATCCTGCACAAGACTGTACACATCCATCCCAAGGGTGATTCCTGCAAAGATTCCACCCCTGATCCGGGCTCCTCTGGTCATTGTCAGTGCCGTGCCTCGTAAGGCTCTCTGCACCCGCTCGGCACTTTGAGCTGAGGTTCTCCCAGTGGTCATGAGGCTCCTGGCTTCACGTAGTAATTGAGGATTCAGTCTGGCTTCTTTGATGGCACAGACATTACGCCCAAGGCCTTTCAGAGATGTTTTCAAATCTACAAGTCCAAATAGAACTTTAGGTACACACTTAAGCATAATTCTTTTGAACTTGTTCAATATGTCTATGCTGACTGACAACAGGCGGTGGGCTTCATCATGGACTGACGATCTGTTTGCTTCCTCCACTATGGTACTGGTAATACCGGTTGCAGTAGACACTGCTCCCAGCGCCATTCCACCTGCTGACAGCACCAGACTTGTCCCTGCTGTCACGAGTGCCAGGGCGAAGCCAAGGATGGTCATGAGTCCAGAGGCAGCACCTGTGGAGCTGGCCACCACGTTGGAGATGGTGCAGCCCCTGTGCACCCTGTCAACCTCTTCTGCAAGGTCACAGAGCTTTCTTATGTGCTGCTCAACCTCCGTTTTCACCTGCGGAAACTCGTCCCAAAACCTCTTCACCTCCTGCAGGTCTTTCTGGATCTTCTCTTTTTCCTCTTCGGTCATGTCTGCTGTGAGCTTCTTCAGAGCTTGACGCAGCTCATCAGCCTCTTCCCTGTAACAGTAAAGGTCAGGTGATTAAGGAAGTTTGCTTATCTATAAAATGGGCCCCATAACATCTACCCTGCACTAATCACACAGTTTGCACTATAAATCAAGTGGAAAAGGAATTCACAAGTGCACAGAATTTTTCTTTCAAAAAGGAACATGCTTGGTTCATAGATGTTCTGTGGTCCTTAGTAAAGGCTTGATGAGTACAAGTCTTCTGGATGCTCCTTAGTGTGTGGCATTTGAAAGAGACACCTTCTCTCTCAAGAGCGAGGCCATGATACCAAGGTATTTGTTGATAGGAAATTCTGTAGGTGAACAAAAAGACATGGATTGGAGCCCAAAAATACCTTAATTCCGAGAATGTCCGGGTGTGGGGAAGAATTACCATTACTCAGAGAGAAGCCTTTCTTTGCTCTCAGTAGCTGCGAAGAGATCTGTAGCTCCTTGAGTGTCCTGCCTTCTAGAAAAGCCCGTGTTTGCCTGGGACTTTGGACACAAGACCACACAGGTTGAGCATCTCTATTCCAAAATTCCTAAACCTGAAATGCCTCAAAGTCGAAAATTTTTTTCAGTCCTTAAGGTTGACTTCAGGGCCTGGAGCTCGGTGGTCACATGCTCTACCACGTGAGCGGGGCTCCCAGTCCTTTTACTTTCGGATTGTGTTTCAGATAAGGTCTCCCGCTAACTTTACCTGCTCCAACCACAGACCTTCACATGTGTTGGGTGCTTTGGTGTCATTTCTGTCCTCCTGTATCCACCTCTGCAGTAATTGGGAACACAGGTGCATATCATTAGGCCCACCATAGGTTTTATAATTGCATTTTACTTTTGAGTTAACCTACACTAATAATGGAAGAGGATTTCATTGCAACAATTCCACACGTGCATACAATGTGGAATTAACTTTGAACAAGTTTGTCCCCTCCATTATACGCCCATCCCCTCCTTTTTCAAACGATGTTTGGTGGGATTCACTACATATATGTAGCATACTTCAATCCTCTTCACCCTTCAGTATCCTTTCCTCCTCCCCTCCCCCAATTATCCCAACAGTCTCCCTATAATATTCATGTCCCATTATTGTCACTATCATCATCCTCATCATTTTAGGTCTAGGTTCTACAAAGAAGAGAGAACAGGTGATATTTAGTTTTCTGAGCTTGGCTAATCTCACTCAATATGCTGACTCCATTTTCCTCCAAATGCAATAATTTCATTTTTCTTTATGGATTAGTAAATATCTAATGGTGTATGTATATAGATATGTAAATATATATGTACACATTTGTACATAGATATATTTATACAACATATTTTCCTTATCCATTCATCAGTTGTATATATCTTGAATGACAGTGGAGTTTGGCTATTGTGGACACAGCTGCACCAAACATAGGTGTGCAGTATCTTTCTTGTGTATTGATTTATACTCCTTCAGCTATTTCCCAAGAGTGGTATTGTGGCATCATAATGTAAGTCTATTTTTAGTTCTTTGAGGAACCTCCACACTGATTTCCACAGTGGTTGCACTAGTTTCCATTCCCACCAACAGTGTATGAGAGTTACATAAGATCTCCAATGTTCATGGATTGGCAGAAATATCATGAAAATGGTTATACTGCCAAAAGCAATCTACAAATTTAAGCAATGCCTACCCATCCAAATCCCAATGTCAATCTTTTGCAGAAATTCACATGAAAGCTGAAAAGACTATGAATAGCCTAAGTAATCCTGAGCAAAAAGAACAATCCTGGAGATATCAGAATTCCAGACTTCAAATTATACTACAGAGCCATAGTAACAAAAACAGCATGGTAGAGGCACACAACCAGACACAAAGACCAATGGAACAGAATAAAAAATCCACAAATAATTCCGTACACCTACAGACATCTGTTCTTTGACAAAGGAGCCAAAGACATCCATTGGAGTATAGACAGCCTCTTCAACAAATGGTGCAGGGTAAACTGTTTATCTACATGCATAAGACTGAAACTAGACTCCTTTGTATCTCTCAACCTGTACAAAACTCAACTCCAAATGGATAAAGGATCTCAATGTAAGACTTGAATCTTTGAAACTACTATAGGAAAACATAGAGAAAACTCAGAGATATAGGCATAGGAAATTGTTTTCCAAATAAGATCCCAGCCTGTTTTTGAAATAGGATCTAACTAACTTTTTGCCCACCTTGGCCTGAAACTGCCATCTGGCTGGCTGCCTCTCAAGTCACTGATATTGCAGGCATGTACCACACATGCCTTATCCAAAATCTGAAATATTTTGAGCACTGACACAATACCACAAGTGAAAAGTCTTATGCCTGACCTCATGTGGAAAGTTGCAGTCAAATCGCAGGTGCACTAAAAATATTACATAAAATTACTTTCAGGCTATGTGTATAGGTATAAAATAAAATAAATGAATTTTGTGTCTAGACACTGGCCCCATACACAAAATATTTCATTATGAATCTATAAATATTTCAAAATCAGAAAAATTTCAGAATCTAAAACATTCTGGACACAAGCATTTCAATAAAAGATACTGAACCTTAATGATGCAATGTGTGGTGGGAGTTTTGGTATTGTCTTTGACCTCAAGAGACACTGGACACTGAAGGCCTTGACTTGTGGGAGGGGAGGGAGACTCCAAGTCAGCTCTGAAGCAGCCTGGGATGAAGCCTTCTGATAGTTAATCTGATTGTCAACTTGACTGACTTGAGAGACACCAAAAATTGGTAAATCACAATTATATACGTTCTGCAGGGGTTTTTCAAAGATGATTGGAGGGAGATTCCAAGATGGTGGCTAGAGGGAGGAAGCAGAAAGCGTGCCTCTTAAAGTGAAATCTTGGAGAGACGCTGGAGACACACTTTGCAGGCAAGGCCACTGAGAAGAGGCAAAACTTTGACCCCTCCACACTTCCAGCCTGTGCAGAGAATCTCCACTTCACGTTAAACGGGGAAACCAGGAGGGCCCCCGGGCTGCCAGATGTCCGTGCCCAGATGGATTGGGAAGACACGGACAAGATGAGCTAAGCGGTATGCAGTACTTCCACAGACAACCCTGGGCCAGATCAGCATAGCCTCCTGAACAGACCGACTCCCACCCAGGGAAAAAAGAGAAACTGAGTAATAAGCAATAAGAACAATAAAGACACGTGGGAAAGAGGGTGGGGTGCCCTGAACGCCGAAGTGGGGGAGGGAAATCCCTCCTGGAACTGTAAATCAACAAGCTAGGCCCAGTCAGAGAAGCTCTGGCGGTAGCAGGGGCACGCCCAGCAACCAGGAGCAGGAAAGCTTGTGAGAGTGGCAGAGGGAGGAAAACTCCACAGGAGATGGGGGAACACCCACTTCCCATGTGAACTGTAAATAAACATGCAGGCCTGAGAAAGTGTGTGCAGTGTCACCTCCCCCAGTGTGCTTGGAAAGGGGAAAGCTTGTAGAAGTGGCATCACGCACAGAAGAACTCTGAGAAAACAAAGCCTGTGGGGCCAGGTGAGTGCTAAGCTCAACCCAGAGATCTGCATAAATAACACCTCCAGCAACAGCAGGCTGACAGCAGCAGGAAGGCAAGCCACAGCCACAGATACCATTCTCAGAACTATCTCCAGACTCTTTTTTTTCTCTCTCCCTACCTTTGCTGAGACAACAACCAAACTACACCTGCATGCTGAAAAACTTACTGAAACTGTATTGCATTTGAACTTGGGACACTTTGTGGGTTTTTTTTGTTTTGTTTTGTGTGGTTTTGTTCTACTTTATGTTTCCCCTTTGATGAGACAACTACAGAACAACATCTGAGGCACCATCTCTGGGATTGGAGGCTGAGACAAACACCAAAATTATTAAGACTGAAACTTCATTGCATTTGAACTTAGAGGGCTTTATATATATATATATTCTTTCTTTTACTTATTTTTTATTTTTATTCTTATCTTTATTCTTTTTATTTTCAATCCTTTCTCTGTATCTCTAAAGCCTTTTCAGCTTATGGTTGATTAGTACACTGTCTCTGCCTGTTTATATCTTTGAAACTTTTTTTGTTTGTTTCTTTGTTTTGTTTTATTTTTTTCTACTTGATTATTTCTTTTTCCCTTTTCCCTTAACTTCTTTACTTTCCATCACCTCTCACCCTTCCATTCTAAATATCACTAGTGCTATTATTACAAGCTAGAAAATACTTAATTGCACACAGTACAGGGACAATAACAACAACAAGGGCAATGACGGGAAGACAGAAAAAACAGGGAAACCAGTTTCCCCACAGTAAAAAATCAGTACAGGAACCAGAGGGAAATGAAGAAAACAGATACTCAGATCCAGACTCCAACAAAATGAAGATAAACTATGCCAAAGAACCCAATGAGAACACAAGAATAATTTAAAAGAAGACATACTACAGGTACTCAATGAGAATTTTATAGAGATGATACTGGTCAACCAAAATGTACAGGAGACACTCAAGAAATTCCAAGACAACAAAAATAGAGAATTTGAAAAATCAAAAGAAGAAATAAAGGAAACCATAGAAGCACTGTATAAACACCAAAGTGAAACAAAGAACTAGATTAATAAAGAGATAAATGAACTCAGGACAAAAAAAGACAACATTAAAGAGGAAACAACCCAGGATATGGAAAACTTCAGAAAAAAGAATGAAACAGAACTGCAAAACAAAACGGAAGGCCAATCCAGCAGAATAGAACAAACAGAAGACAGAATCTCAGAACTCAAAGATGAAATGGTAATTAAAGGAAAAACCAAAGAACTATTAATTAAACAACTCAAGACCTGCGAAAAGAAAATGCAAGAACTCACCGACTCCATCAAAAGACCAAACTTGAGAATCATGGGCATCGAAGAAGGAGAAGAGGTGCAAGTGAAGGCAATGCATAATATATTCAACAAAATAATAACAGAAAATTTCCCAAATCTAGAGAAAGATATTCCCATACAGATGCAAGAGGCCTCCAGAACACCAAACAGACCAGTTCAAAATAGAACTACTCCACGACATATCATCATTAAAACAACAAGTTCAGAAACTAAGGAAAGAATATTGAAGGCTGTAAGAGAGAAAAAACAAGTAACATACAAAGGTAAACCCATCAAAATCACAGCAGACTTCTCA